AAATGGTTTGAGACAAGAAAGTCGCAGTTTTGGGCTCGTCAACCCGCTTGGAGATCTCGGTTGTAATGACGCTGCGCAGCAGTTAAACATCGAGAAAGCCATCACACCAGCTGACTTGGGAGATGGTGGACGGAAGTATCTATTTGAGGTGGATCTCTCCACTGCTACGGACTTAAGTCCTTGTTCAAATAAAACTCTCGATGAGTCAGAAACTACGCCAATTGAGATGCTGCCTGTGGCACCCCTCCCTAGTCCTCCTATCATTACTTTTACCTCGTGTGATGAAGAGGCAGAGCAAAAAAAGTATTGTGAATTTGGCAAAGTTCCCGCTGACTGGACGTCTTCCTGTCCTAGTTCTACTCTAGGCGTTTTCCAACTCGACAATGGCGAATACATTCTCTCAATGCTGATTTATAAGTATGGCGAGGATCAGCGTTTGTGGCGGCAGTGGCTCAAACGCGTCGAAAAGACAATGTTGGGACTTGAGAAATCATGCAAATGCAAGATCACCTTATACAATAAGCCATTCCGCTTTAGAGGTGTCATGACACATATGATACGCATTCGAGGGCTGTCAAAAAGGAGTGTTATTCGCTGCAAAAATGCTCTTCCTTCGTACATACAAGATAGGCTTATCACAGCGCATGCTTACTACTGAAATAATGTGAAAAGCAAATGCAATAATTACAATGATTTATAAATTTGCTAAAAAAACCTTCAGACTAATATATTTAACATTAATATTTAAATATTTGACATTCATGATTATAGTGTGTAAAATAGCATGATGTTTACGGTCTTTGCGGAATTCTCAGTTCTCAATTCATTGAAGCAGATTTGACTCGTAGACTGGGATCATATATTTGATATTGAAGTAGGCATACTTCCCACCCTTAGTTTCCATTATTCTTAGTGTTTCATTTATTAGATCTCCAATATTTTCATTTTTGCGCTGACTGTATTCAATTGCATCACCGATATTCTTATTGCAATTGGCAAACAAATTAAATGTGGGAAGGATTTGTCTGTAGTACGGCACCAATGCTTCACCAACATCT